GCACACTGCCTGACGACGGCGTGCGTCAAGGACTTCTGACATAGGCCTGGCAACATTCATTGAACGCTCACCCTAAAACTAAGTCACTTTGAAGCTTTACCCATGGAAGAGTGTAGCGATTTGCAAGCACACGAGATTTACCATGTCAGGAGGAGGGAAAGGAATGGACTGAAATGCATAGAGAACATTCCACCTAGCACTCGAGAACCAAGGCAGGAACTGATACCACAGGTCGTCTCCACTCTAGTTTATGACCATACTCTCTCTCCTCTGACTGTTTCCTCACTTCTTGGCCGACAATCTCTCTTATTGTGCTGTCTGCCTCAGAACTATACCTAGTCTAAAGCAGATGGGCTATGTTTACAGCGTTTCTTTGGTTTACCTTTCTTTTTCTTCACTATCGGTCCACTTCGCGCTAGGACTCGCACTTTTATGAGCAAAATAACCACGCAACTTTGATTCTGTCGTGTGCCTTTGAGTCCATTTCAGAAAAGCGTGATTCGTAACAATGTTGCTGTCTGCGTCTCGGTCGTTTCCTTGCAGTCTCGCCCTTTCGACATATTTTCAATCTCCTGCCGCCCAGCGTTCCCTCATCGTAAGCCATCCCAGATAGGAAGACTGGGCCGATTTTATGCTTTCATTCTATGCCTGGTCATTTTTCCAGGATTTCTACATAGTTAGCTGTACATATCTATACGCCATTCTTGTTGAAACGGTATAAACCACCAGGTAACCTTCTAGCGGCCTGATATTATTACGTTCAACTAGTACGACGCCCAGGTATATACAGCTACAAACGGTTCCATGCTTATCAACGCCCAGTATTGTTTTGTCTCGGACACACCTTTCGGTAGCGTCGCGCTTTTGTCTCCAGTGTGTGCTTGCGTTCAACATAAGGTGATTGCATAGTTAACTACGTTCACGTTCACATTACCTATACTGTCGTCAATTACTAGTAAGATAAATTAGCGCTGGCAGTTCCTGTGCAGACAATCACACAGCTCGGTGTTGAGCTGTATTGTATTGTGTACCTGGTCCTGTTTTACATGGGATATATGCCGTATAAGGTAGGCCTTACTATGACAGTGAATCCCGATCAGAATCGATAGTATAGATTCTATTTTGGGACTGACCCATGGTGAGGATTGCTTGAGCTCCAATGTACCGCTTTGGATGAACCTCATGGCATCGATGGCGGCTTGGTTTGATATCCTCTTAATCCCTCTGCACGAGTTGACAAATGATTCTTCAAGTGATGAGCTTCTTTGATCTCGAGCTCAAGTAGGATTTGCTGAGACATTTCCGTAGAGCTAACCACAAACTGTTCGACCCTTTCAGGCTCAAAGAAGCGACTCGTTCCGCGCGAAGCATGGCCCTATCAAGGTGCATTTATCAACCTCTATGAAGAGAGTTGAGAAGATATCAACTATTGCTCGGAGGGATAATGTTCTTATTGGCTTTAACGCACTATATGAGGCATTCTCTAGGACCAGGCTTAGGGAAAGGTAGGAGCTTCGAAGAAAATGATAATCTCTCACATATCATGGAGGTCTGCCCTCCTGAGCTTGAGGTTAGTCCCGTTTCTAGGGAAAATGGGAAGTTCCGCCTGGTTTCAAGTACACTGCCACTAAAATGCCCCCGAATTTTATGGTAGTGCCTTCTTGTTAGGAGTGAAGTTCCTCAACATTGGCTCATCTGCGAATGAATGGAGGTCTTCGAAGAAGGGCAAGGAACTATAGAAGCGGCTTGATGTTTAACAGTAAACGTCACAGCTTCTCCTAAATAGGGAATTCCAGGAAGACCCTCCCCTGAGCGTTCGAAAACCCCCCGTGAAGATGGCAAATGTTCAGTGACCTCGATCGAGGCCGATTTTCAACGGTGGATTCTACTCTGATCAGTGGTGTAAAGTCAGATTTTCGTTCTCCTGTCTATCATCGGTTTTTACTTTTCCAGAGTTTCTTTCGTTAATTAATCTATTACACTGTAATCTCACTTGATGTTGCGTTGTAAACTCAATTACTCTTCTTGCAAGGGCCTAAAAATCCACCCTTTAAAGTTCTTTACCTAGCTTCGCCATAATGTAAATCACCTAAATTGCGATTAGTCAGCGTTAGAGGCTGTGTGCTTGCACCTTCCCAACAATATCGCCAAAGTAAAGCATTCAACACCCGACTTTCCTCTCCAAAGTGGTGGCTTTGGCTTCTATCACATCACCGAAAACATGGAAACAAATAGAAATGTGAAGCGCTAATTTGGAAAGGAATTGGCAAAAAAGAGGAATCACCAGAAATTCTTGAAAGTTCTGTGGTTATAACCTAAAGCGGAGGCTCACAAGTCGGTTTTGCGGTGTTTCGTCAAGGGATAAAAAATAAAGGTCCTCAGCTTATTTGTTGCCGGACGGCACATATGGCCGGACGCGCCTTTCGGGACAACAAATTTTGGCCACGCCCCATTCCAAAGTTTTGATGAAACATAGGCCTAAATTGGGTATTGGAAGATTCTGCGATCTTCTAGTTCTCGCACCGTTGTCGTCGCTTTTTCCTCGCAATTCGAATCATCAGCTCATCGTTTGTACTCGCTGCTTTTTATGCCTTTCTTACCGTTCTGCTCATGGTGGCAGTTCATGTAATTAGGAGAACCGGTATCCTGCAGTCTACATATTTGTTACACACCCAAAACCTCAGTTTTCGTCTTCTTTTTCGAACGAGACCCAAAAAAGGAAGCAAACGTCTTCCGTTCAGAGTAAACAAGAAAAACATATAAGAGATACCCAGTGACCTGGTTGCCACTGACTGTTACGTCTTTGCACAGCTTCGCCTTGAGTTAGCTCACTTCCTGACGGAGCGCTCTATAGAGAAGCTCCGAGAGAAGAATAACCCTTGGGATGGCCTCGTTTGACTCTAGTTACCCCGTGTGCTATTTCAACCGTGGTCGGTTGCGGGTCGCTTTTGATCTCAGTACTGTTTCAAGGTTGTCGTTGAAGGGGTTTGTAAGGGATCCTTTTTCTTGTCTTTCTTGTTTTTCTTTATCGCATATCTTCTGAAGCCCACAATTCGTTGTATAGGTCAATTCGCATTCAAAATGCTTCAACGGCTTTGAGTGGATGCGCGGCGCATTCCAAGACGGATTAGTTCACATCATGAATTTTTCCTATATGTTATTTACTATCTCCTCTCCTCGTTCACTTCTGGTTTTATCCCTGCTGAGGACAGTCTTTTTAACAGTTTACTTCTACGCAGATCTCCGTTCAGGCTAGATTGAGCGACAAAAAGCGACCTAGCGCAACACTAAACGATCTCTGAACGACTAAGATTGGCTGGATCACTCATTTGCAGTCAAACTTCCCAGCTAATGACTTTATTCCTTTGCTGGGAATGAGCTCCATGAGACGAGGGCTGCACCAAACTTTCACCCTGTCAGACTGGTGTCACACTCAGCGATCCGTCGCACGACTAGCGCGAATCGCGCCACGGTACGCGGATTCTGTGGCCAGCCTCAGTCGGTTTTTCTCTATTTTCGCTGATGGTCGCTTCTTGTCGCTTGCTGTCGCTCGGAAGAAAGTCGCCTACGAAAATAGTCACTAGGTAAAAAATGTATGCATGGACGTGTAGGAATCATGGGTAAAATGATAAAGTTTATAATTCAGAGTTCAAGCCATCCTGGAAGCATCACCTTCAGATTATCACTTGTCATCCTCATAGCCCAGCAGCTTTCACTTGCACCTTCTGCGAGCATTTTTCTGAACACTTTTTCGTCTTTTAGTAAGGTGTTTTCTTATTATTTAGTGAAAGTTTGACTATGTGATCATCATTTGTTTTTTCCTATTTTTTCACAAAGCTTTGTTATTTTGTTCGAGGCCTTGTCTTTTTCATTGTCTCTGCTGAGGGCTTCAGAAAACTATGTATAACTCTCGTCAAAATATCGTATTTCAGAAGTTCTGGGATAGGTCACGGCCACAATGACTACTGCCACTAAACCAACTAGTCTTTCTTTTCGGAACTTGCTTTCATTTTGGTAAGTTGATCGATTTTTCTACAATCGCAATACGCTGTGAGTGGAGGCATAGTACAAACGTAGAGCGGTAAATGAACCTAAAGACACTTCCCATGATTTCTGGTTCTGCAAAAAAAAAACCTTCGAAAAAGTTGTGGGATCTTACTTTATTCTCATTTTTCTATTAGATTGGATTAATGGATGGAATGTTGCTGCTGGTGTCCAGAGACAATCCAACAAATTTTTTTGCCGCTTATAACCTATAAACCCTTATCGTTATCATAACAAAGCTCAAATACCTTTGTGATCCCGTGTTTTCAGGATCTTCGGTCTGTGCAATAACTTCGCGTACAGTGTGATGCTGAGCGCGGCACAGGATATTCTGAACAAACACAAGGGTGAGGATCCTATTGAGGACAACGTCACCGATTCGAGCTGCGTGGTGAGTATGTGGATTCAGCTGAAGTTCGTTTAGTTGGAGTAGTGGACTGCAAAATGGTGGAAAACTCGGGAAATGGAACTTTTCTTCATCATATCAATTTCCTTGCATTGGCGAACCTTCCCTGTTGCTCTCCAGTGCGGATTGGCATTATCGCGACTAGGTCGTTTTGGAGACATCACACGGATAAGTCCGCTGTAGCGATTCTTTAGTGGGCTACGACTAGAACGTATGATAGAATGCGCACGATAGTCGCAAATCTGCCATTCTAAAGCTCGAAAGAACGCTACAATGGCGCTAGGGCCTTGCACGTGGTCTCGATTACTGCTTCTGACTGGAGCTCCTGTCGCGCGCTGCGCAACGGCTAAGAGATGCAGAGCACTTCCCGCACTTCTGGATGTTGCATGCGTTCGAACCATGGGAAAGTGTCTGCGTCCGTGGGAAGGCGTAGTATCTTCGTCCTCCATGGCGTGAGAACGTGACTGGAGCACGGGAATCCTATCGGCGCATACCTTGCACGTTGAAAAGGTCGTGACGAGAGTCGCGACAACCCCCTACGGTGTACCAGACTTCCGCGTTCCCTTCTCTTCTCTATTTTCAGCGCGCTTTTTCGCGAAGGACATTGGTTAGTGGTTCACTAAACTTCCAAGCGGACCGAATATCGGGTCGGATTTAGTTTGGGATAACCTACCATCTGGGTAGAAAACTTGGTCCCTACTCGCCCTCGGACGAATAGGATTTGTGAATTGCAGATAGAATAACTGGTTCGACAAGCTACTGCACACGTTCAATTGCACGGGAGTCGAAGTCACGGAGAGCGTTTCTTGATCTCTCTTGTGAATTCCCCGAGTCAAATTGTGTGAAAATATTCCCAACACTGTTTTTCCAGGAAGACATCACCTACAGAATCTGCTCCCCAACGTCGACGGGTGTCGTTTTGATATGCAACATTCTGCCAGGTCTTTGTGTGAAAGTGCTTTGTCCATTGGTCATGCATCGGATTCCTTTTTGGTATGTTGGACGTGTCGTGGTCGGCCAGGCTGCTCCGCGTGCGGTCGTGTTGCGTTCTGAACCCTTCGGACACTGTTTTTCAGGCAAATAACCTTTCTCTAAACACAATTCCAGGGTGCGGCACACGATGGTCTGCGTGGCGCAGGCGTCGTCGCTGTTCATCACCGCGTTCGCGGATTCGGTGCCAGTAGCTTTGTTCGGAGTTTGCCTTGGGTCGTTTTCCAGTGGCCTTGGTGAGACCACCTACCTGGGACTGGCTGGGCATTACTCAAAGTGAGTTGTTGGCCTTTATGCCGTTTGGTCATCTAGAAAAAAAGGAGAGAAAAAGGTAAAATGAGAAAAAAAGAGGAGGGACTCATTCCAGGCACACAATAGCTACATGGTCTTCCGGCACCGGTATGGCTGGAGTGGTAGCCGCTTTCTCCTATGCTGGTCTGACTGATCAGCGATTGCTAGCGCTTTCGCCTGCTCAGGCAATGCTGGTTATGCTCGTGGTACCGGCTATTTTCATGTT